CTTCCTTCCTTCCTTCCTTCCTTCCTTCCTTCCTTCCTTCCTTCCTTTCTTTCTTTCTTTCTTTCTTTCTTTCTTTCTTTCTTTCACATTTACTTATTTATAGTTTATTTTTTCTGAGGCAGGTTTCTTTGTGTAGCCTTGGTTGTCCTGGACTATTTGTAGATCAGGCTGGCCTCAAACTCACAGAGTTCTGCCTGCCTCTGCCTCTCCGACTGCTGGGATTAAAGGCTTGTGACACTACGCCCAGCTGATTTTTATTTTTTTAATATCCATTTTTTCGTGAATTTACATGTCATCCTTTGGTAGGGGTCATGCTAATCTTCTCCATATTGTTCCAATTTTTAGTATATGTATTTTCAAAGTGATTACTAATGTGACTTAAAATATTATTTTTATCATTTTTAATTTTGTATAAGTAGGTATGTGTATGTGTGTTGAGTGCAGGTGCCTACAGAGGCCAGAGGCATTAGATATCCAGAGCTGTAGTGAGTAGATATCCAGAGTGTAGTGTTGTGAGCTGGGATCCAAACTTGGTCTTCTGTCAGAACAGCAAGTAGTCTTAATTGCTGAGCCAGCCCTTCAGCCTTGGGATTTTTTTTTTTTAAACACAAAGCACAAAAAGTATTCTTTAAAAATAATTTATTGAAAATATTTTCTTCTTTAAAAAGTCTTTATTTTATCTTAACATGTGTGAGTGTTTTGTCTATCTGTATGTGTGTACTCCACATGCATACTTATTGTGCAGAGAGGTCAGAAGAGAGCCCTGGATCCCAGGGCCTTGAGTTAAGAATGGATGTGAGCTCCCATGTATGTGCTGGAATTTGAACTTAGGTCCTCTGGAGAAAAGCCAGTGCTCTTGTCCACTGACATATCTCTAGCCTGTATTTTAAGAATTCTTGATGAAATTGCTGGAAATTTTATTTTAGCACCTTACCACATGGAGTATAATATATTTCCCAGTCACTCCATGCCCAGGAAATATCCAGGGTCCTACACTGTGATCAAAGTAGATTAAGGCTAAGTGGCTTTTATTTCTTTTTATAGTTAAAATTTTCTGACTTAGAAAAAAGAATTATTTTTATTGTTTTTAATGATGTGTATGCGTGTATGTCTGTGTGTGCGTGTGTACACTTAAATGCATGTGCACGGAAGCCTGAGGGCCCTATAGAGCTGAATCAGATTTCTATAGAGCTGGAGTTACAGGTGATTATGAGCTGCCTAGGTGGTGTGGTTGCTGGGAACTGAACTCCGATCCCTTGGAAGAAAAGGGCTGAGCCATCTCTCCTGCTTGCTTCTTTAGGCAAGCAGTTATTTTCTATACCTTACTTTAGTGTACTTTTCCATGTCTAGTTTTCTGGTCTAGTCTTTAATTTGCAATGAAAGAAACCATCAGCTTTCTTTCATTTGTTTGTGAAAGTCATTCTGAATGAATATGGATAAATTAGTTTTGAGTGAAGGTTGTTTTTGGATAATGAACTTTACTGCTATTTGAAAACCTACTTTCTTTCTTTTTACTCTTTAGAAGCCTTTCCCCCTTCCTTCTTTGTTAGCCTCTGGGTGTCCAAGTCTAATTTGAGACAGCTTGATAAGTGAAGTTTTGCTTAACTTAGGAAACTTTTTTTAAAAACAAAGCAAACTAAATCCAGATAGTGCAGCGTGTGTGTCTTCTTCCTCTTTAGAGAAAGTTGCTGTGATGCTGTGGGAAAGGGGCAGGTGTATTTGGGCCAGGTTACACATGAAGAAAGCCTCTGTTCATTAAGTATTTGTATCTTCTCTCTCTTCTGTAATGGTAAGAAGATTCTTGCCTTTGCTGAGAAGGTGCCAATGAATTTTGCATTATGTTTTACCTGGAATATACGAGATAGACTAGGTTTGAAATGAAAGTTGCTGTTACAGAATTTTAAAATGTCCTTAGGCTATACTTATTTTATGGTGTTTTTGAAAATTCAATTTCTTTTTGTTTTGTTGTGTTGGTATAATGTTCTTTTGAAATGTATACACCCTTACCCTTGTTCATTTAAATGCTGATTCCTCCCCCCCCCTTCAATCCGGATACTGCATTGTGATACTTATTCTAAGCATCACCTGTCTCAACTTTGTGTAAACATCCGAAATAAAACAACCAGCCACAATGTTGAGCAATAGAGATGAAGGAGTAGGCGGGGAGAGGGGAGGAGCCAGAGGACAGAAAAAGAGTGGGAGGCAAAAGGGCGGGTCAGAGCTAGGAGAACAAGGCTGGAGAAGAGATCTTGGAATGAATGAGAATGAACCAGACCTAACATTTCACAAAAAGCAAGTATATTAGGATTGACAGCAAGTGTTAATAAAAGATAAACCAGTAGTAAATATTAATAGTCACCTGCAACAGTTGTGTTTGTTTTGAGATTAGCTTGCTCTGTAGACCAGGCTGGCCCTGAATTAAGAAAGATCTGCCAACTCCCGCCTCCTGAGTCCTGGGCTCACAGGTGGGTGCCCACGGTTAATCTGGGATTCTAATTCTTTTGCTTCGGAGTGAGAAGTAGAAATTATTTGTGTTAATAAGTATTGCCTTTAACTTAAATACTCTGAAGTATTAATGTTTTTAATCTGTAATTTCCAGAAAGTTCTCTAACTCAGTTTGTTATAAGTATATGTGTTATAAAAACAGTATATTTTATATAGATGTATGTACACACACACACACGTAGAGTTTGTGGTTTTAGAGGGAATACCTTGCTTACTTGAATCTTGTTTTTTTTTTGGTTTTTGTTTTGTTGTTGTTTGTTTTTTAAGACAGTGTTTCTCAGTGTATAGCCCTGGCTGTCCTGGAATTTGCACTGTAGACTAGGCTGGCCTTAAGCTAACAGAGATCCATCTACCTCTGCCTCCTGGGTGCTGGAATTAAAGGCCTGTGCTGCCACCACCATCTGACATTATTTGAACTTAAAAAAAAAAAAAAAAAAAAAAAAAAACTTAAAAAAATGCACATACTTATTTTATGTGCATTGATGTTTTTGCCTGCATGTCTCTGTGTTGAAGGAGTTCTTCTGTGTAACTCCCTGGAACTGGAGTTACAGACAGTTGTGAGCTACCATGTGGGTGCTGGGAATTGAACCCAGGTCCTCTGGAAGAGCAGGCAGTGATCCCAACCCCTGAGCTGTTTCTCCAGCCCTACTAAAACTTTTAACTTAGGAATTTTAAGTCTTAATGGCTAATACTGCTTTTCTATGATTTTTCCTCTTAAAGTAATTGGTTTCTTTCTTAAGTTAAATTGTGTTAACATTTGAACTAAATATATCAGCTAGATAATTTTGAAACATCTCCTAATATTAGGGAAAGTAAGTTATCCTTAAATACATATATTATACTTTGAACATTGACAAAAAAAATTCTCAGAAAGCAATCCTCATGTTTACCCTGCTTTGTAGCAGAAGAGAGTGAATCAATTTGAGATTTTAAAATATAGCTTAAGTATGATACTTTCAATTTGGCCAAGATTAAATGACAGGGTTTATTTATAGCACGTTAGCTGAAGTAAATCAGTGTGGTGATCCATAGGAGTGTGGGGTTGGAGGAGGTGGCACATTGGTGCTTGATTTTGAGATCCCGGGTTGGAGAGGGGTGGCATTCAGTGATCACAGGACCTGTTGAGGATTGCTTGTCACATTGAGATTTCTATTACAAGTGTCTAGAAACAGGCATCTAGAAAACTACAAGAAATGCACTCAATTTTCAGGGTGTGCCTTTCCATTTCTTTTTGTCTGCAAGTGTCTTTTCCTATAATTTGGAGGGATTTTCTCAATTGAAATGTTAAGTTGCTAGTAGTTTTCAGTATCTTAAGGTTGTTGTTTCATTGTCTTTTTTATAGTTTTGTTTAGGAATTTTATTCCCACTTGTTAAAAGTGGAAATATCTGGCCTTTCTCTGACTGTTTTTAAAAATTTCTTTGCCCTTTAATTTTTGCAAGTTGTTTTCTCTAAGTGTCTGGAATTCTTAATATTGCCGTAGTTGTTGTTTGTTCTGCCCTGAGTCTTGTGCTTCTTCAGAAGCTGTGTCTGCATTTGTCTTGCGTTTCTGGGGTTCTGATAGTAAGTAGCTACTGTTTCCTTTAGTTTTGAATGGCGCCTTTGTTCTGCCATCCCTTTCCTTTTTCTTCTCATTACAGTCTGTTTTCAGTTTGTCTCAAGAGTTGATCTTCTCTTCAGTTGTATCTAATTTGATGTCAAATTGAGTTTTTAATTTCAGTGATTGTGTTGACTCCGATTCTTGAAAAAAAATCTCTTACCTGATATCAGTCTTCCTTCCTCCATACTTCCCTTCCCCCTTTTTTTCATTCTCTTCCTCCTTCCTTGATTGACAGACATCATGGATTTTTGTTATTCTGTACAGTCTAATACTAGTTAATAGAGTTGGGTAATGAGTGGAAGTAGGTATAGTTTCATAACATTGGTTTTATAGTGAGTTGTTTATCATTTCTGATATTTTTGTCCAAATCACTTCCCTTTTTTAGTGACATACATGGAAACATGGAAATTCAAGTTAGTGAGAAAAATGTCGTTCTAAAGACTTGGATTCAAGTCTTAGTTATTTATTATATATAAGTTATACACCACACACCTACCATATGATCTCACACGATTACACTGGGCAGTTATTGTACCTTTGTCTTGTAAAATAAAATCTCTTTGAATGTAACAGATGTTTGAATTCCATGGCCAGAATATGGTTATGGGTTTATATAATAGTGAGACAAATCGAAATGCAAGGGATGATTGAAAAGAATAAAAAGAAATTAGTGAGAAATTTTGTGTTAGGTTCAGTGAAGGGGAAAATTATTAAAATGACAGTAAGCTTTTGAGTTTGAAGTGTTGGATGCTGCTGCTGTTGGTGGAATAGTTAAAGGAGGAGGAGTGTTTGCATTTGTAAATTTTATGCTTGATGTAAATTGTGTTACCTCAGTATAAAATAGTTTTCTCAGTCCTATTTTCACCCCAGAGCATAGTAGTTAACATCTCCAAGCTTGTGGCTACAGCTGCTTATATGGATATAACAGTCCACAGCCCCCCTCCCTACCCACAGGCAGTATTGTAAGGGTTGGTCTTTAAACCACATAGTCTTTATACACGTGGCAGAACTTTATGACCATGCTGAGGACAGGAATTCAGCACACAGCAGCAGCATTTCCTTATTTTGAGGAGGGCTAAGATCGACATCGCAGGATTTATGGTAGTGTCTTTACAGCTTTGAGCCATACCCTTAAGGATGACTCATTCTGACTCACTTGCTTAAATTCACCATCATTAAAAAACTCTTTCATTCTGTTTTCTTTTCTCCAGGTTTTATTTCTCCCCAGTGAATAGATTCCTTGTAGAAGGTCTCACATTGCTGAAC